GAGGGGGGGACGTGTGAGAGTACGACGGCTTAAACTGGCTTTGCTAGCTTGCCTAGACTTTATTATGCTATATCTAGCTTGGGTTTTATTTATCCTGCATAGATATGCTTGATTTCCTAGGTTAGGTGCATTCCTATATTTTATTATTGTTATAGCACCGAACCAGGTTACATGTACCGAACTCAAGCCTATTCAATTTCCACCGAATTGCTTTCTACTGAGTTCGGGAAGGTTCTATTCGGGACGCTTCACGACCCTCAGAACATTCGCGTAACACCTGGGTTACCTGCCTTGTGTCGAGCCTATATATTGTTGATTGTATAGGTGGTTGTGGTATTTTGCTCTAGCTGGTTGTGGGCTAAGGGTTTGGGCAAAATGTGGTGGTTAGACTTGTTGCGGGCTGGAATTGATCTCGCACCCAACAAGCACCAACAAATCTTTGCTATTCACTACAACACCTTTGGTGTTGCTAGTTTAGCACTTTGGGTTGTTGGAGATTGTTGTAGGGCGAGGTTTGGGTTGGTAGGGTTTGAAAAATTCGTCACTTTTCAGATCTGAACTCTTGCTAAAGCTACTTTCTTGATCTAATCCATGGCTGCGAAGTAATTTCGCCAGGATACCCCGTCGGACTTACATCGGGATAGCGATCGACCTAGATCTTGATTGAAGTCGTGCGTTACCATTCTGAAAATTAGAGATTAAGACCTTTCCAACGCGTACCTGCTCATAGTTTAAGGTTACGTGATCTGCACGCAATGTTCCGTCAAAGTCGGCGGACTTAATCTCTTGTACGCTCTCCAGATTTGCTCGCTTTCCATCAGTGGTATCAGAGCTGGTTAGGCCTGCGACATTCCCTCTTTTCATCATATTTCGAATTGGTTGAAGGACCTCTAGATCTAGGGTTGGTCATGGCCCAGAAATTAGATGGCCCTCCTAGGTTTACCGGCTCGGATTTTTCGCTATGGCGGTTCCAGTTTACGCTTTGGCTAGGTATCAAAGACCTAGAAGGCGTTTTGGGGGGATCGGAGCGAAGACCTGAAGCTGATGAAGGAAAGGCATCTACTGGAGTCTCTAGCCAAGTGGGAGAAGGGGCTGGGGGAGCCTCTAGCTCATCCATAGTTGAGGGAAGTGGAGGTGGATCAGCAGCACCGCGAACCGGAAAGCAACGGCTTAGTACAGAAGAGCTTCTTAAGTCACAGGAAGCATGGGACCGCAAGGACAAGCAAGCGTTCCAGTACCTGTGTTGGGCCTTGGAAGGCCAACTTGAGCTCCTAAAGATGCTGATTGACCTGAAGGGCAAGCAAGGAGCAGCTGCACTAGCATGGAAGAGGATCAAGATCGACATTTGCAATAAGGGTTGCTAAGCATACTCACCTGGAGGAAGCGGTTCTACACCATGGAACACAACTATGGCAATGGGGAGACCAGGGTGCAGTACCTCCAGAGGGTGGATGAGTATGTGAGGGCATTGGAGGAGCTGAACTATGAAGTAGATGAGAAGGAGATCATCTACACCGCACTCCAGGGGCTGGACCAAGAAGCAAACAAGGCTCTACTACAATACCTTCACCTAGAGCAGCAGAAATGGTTCAAGGCCTGGATATGGGAGGTGTTGATTTTTTATGAGGCTTGCAAGCGTGATGCTGGTAGAGGAGTTGAAGGGGGAATGGGGGCAGGTGATAGGGCTGCCTCCACGAAGTACCAGCAGCGGCAAGGAGGTGGGGGGAAGAAGAAGGAGCTCGACAAGTGCCTCGTCCCTGGATGCAACCGGAAGCACTCTTGGAAGGAGTGTTGGAGCCGTCGTGACGGGTGGAAGCCTCAAGGGTACCCAGGAGAGGCTCCACCTGTCACTAGGCCTGAGTGGGTGGAGAGGAGGATGAAGAATGGAGCATGGAACAAGAAGGGCAGCAAAGAGAAAGCGGCAGCAACGGCGGCAAACGAGAATAAGAAGGGAAAGGAGGACTCATCGGATGATGGTTTCTCCTTCTTATCCTTAGAGAAGGAGACGGCGCTTTCTGGTCGTGTGTTGGCTGACCCCAATCAGCTCATTCTAGACTCTGGGGCAACCTGTGGAATGGTACCTCGGCGCGACCTCTTCACCACCTATCACTCCCTCCCACCTAACTCCAGAAATATGATTGTGGGGAGCGGAGATTCGCTGCAAGCAATCGGCATCGGCACCATCACCATCAAGGGGAAAGAGGGGGAGGTGCTGAATGTGAAGGGAGTGCTTCATGTTCCTCAATTGGCAACCAAACTCTCATGCTCTCAGCTTGCAAAGCAAGAATACATATGCACCTTCACCTTGGAAGGTGGCACGGTTCGCAAGGGCGGAGTTGTGGTGATGGAGGCCAAGTTAGAGAAGGGTCTATACCTTGTTCGAGTTTGTGTGCCTCGGGTGGAGAAGGCACATGGTGTTGAAGCGGAGGAAGCCGCTTGTAGCACCCGTTGGAAGGACATGGAGCTGGTGACGGCGGATTTGCTGCACCTATGCATGGGGCATGCGGGGAAGCAACAGCTTGTGGAGTGTGTGAAGAAGGGGGAGCTGAAGGGTGTGGAGATTAAGGAGGGTGATGGGCAGCCAAGCAAGTGCCCTGATTGCACTACCGAGAAGCTGCCAAGGACCTCCTTTCCAACCTCCACCTCTCGGGCCACCGCACCTCTTGAGTTGGTGCACACGGATGTGTGTGGCCCCATGCAAACTCCTGACAGAGAGAAGGGCAGCAGGTACTTCATCACCTTCTTGGTGACTTCAGCCGCCTAAGTTGGGTTACCTTGGTGAAAAACAAGGATGAGGTGGCCAAGGTCTTCAAGCGTTGGATACGCTATGCCGAGAGGGAAGCCGGGGTGAAGGTGAAGATACTAAGGTTTGCTCGCTTTCCATCAATATAGCCTCGTGTTGTACCCAGGTGAATCAATCAATTACAATTCTCGTTTCTGAGCTCGATCCTAGATCCTCACACATAGCCATTGACAAAGCATGGAAAGACCCTGACGCAGAAGAGGAGTTGAGCGTCAAGGAGCTGGAAGAACAAGAATGGGCAGAAAAGAAAGCAAAGCTGTACAAAGAGCGCATCGCAAGTGGATGGGACGAAGAGTCTGCACGAACTGGCGGATGGGGAGGAGATGACGAAGGCACAGCAGCACTGTGGGGATCTGCTACTCGCGCTTCAGGCACTGTTCAAGGCTGGGGAACTGGCGGATGGGGCAACACCGAATGACAGGACTTTGCCGAAGGCGAACTTACTCTGGAGGAAATTAAAGTGGAAAGAGAGATGGCTGTTGAACAACCTCCCCCACGACTAATTGTCCCGCTAGGACGCCCTCCGCGCAACCTCCCATCACCTCCCCGCTCACCTCGTTGCTGGAAAGATCCCTGGTTAGAGATTGAGGAGGGGAACGTGCCACCAACTCCTCCACGCAACTCACTAGGGCCAATCTCACGCCCAGATCCCTTCGCGCGATTCGTCGAAGGTACACAGACTCCACTTAACATCATCCCAGAGCGCGAATTTCTTGCGCTCTACCTCACGACTGCACCCGCAGAAGGGGAGACAGAAACAGAAGCAGAAGCAAAGGAGCCGGACAACGAAGCAGAAACAGGAGAAGAAGAAGGACCTGTGCTCCGAATTTCCCAAGAGACTGAAGCAGAGGCAGCAGAACATTATGCCCGTTACCTACGCACCTTAGAAATCCGCACATCAGCGACTAGCATTAGCGACTCAGCCGCCCCTCACGGCAAACGTTCAACAACTGCCTGTGCGCCAAAGTCTTCTTGTTAGGAGCATTACTGCGCCTCGACGATACATAACCACTCAGCACATCTCACCCACACACCTGCACCATTTGTCCCACTGCGGCCCTCATACACCAAGCCGACCCCTCCCTGGAGCCAAGCACCAATCGCTATAGGAAATAGCAGAAAGTCTACAGCGATTTCATCGTACTTACCTTCGACGGCATTAATGGCGAACGATACACCCTCACCTTCGTGGAAGCATACTTCCGCCACGTCTGGATCGCCAACGTCAACGTTCGCTCCAAGGCTCCTGAGGTATTCCGCATTTGGCTCGCACACACACAACGTCAATTGGGGAAGAAGCTGAGAATTTGGCAAACCGACGGCGCCAAGGAATTTCGCAGCCATGAACTAGAGAGCACTGTCGCTGAGAAGGGGATCAAGCATCAAATCTCACTCCCCTACGCTCACCAGCAGCAAGGCAACCGCACGCTCATGACAAAAGTGCGTGCCCATGAATCAGTCCGGATTTCCTAATAAATACTGGCTGTACGCCATGAACCACGCAGTGCACCTGCACAACCTCCATTCCACCACAGCCAACAGGGGTAACCTCTCCCCACACATGAAGTGGACTGGCTCAAGGGGAGACACCTCCATGCTAAGGGTCTGGGGGTGCATGGTGCAGTATCGGCCAACTTCGGCAACAACTGGAAAGTTCACTCACTGCGCGCGCTGGGGCGTTCACCTGGGACTCAGTCATGAGTATCAAGGCTGGTTGATTCTTGGCATTGACAACAAGCAGATTGTTCCCGCTCGTGACGTTCTCTTCTACAAGCATCTCACCTTGGAGCAGTGGGTCGAGGACGAGCGTTTCAACATCGCACGCACCTACGCCAACAACGGTCGCGGCTTTGCAACTCCGGAGGACGAGGCAGAAGCAGCGGCGCTCGACCGCGACCCCGCCGACGAACATCCCGACGTTCCGCCTCGCCTGCGGGACGACGACGATGACGATGATGACGACGACACCCCCGCACCAGGACCATCGCGTCGCCACACCGAGCCCAGCACCTCCGCAACTGCCCACGAGAGTGATGATGACGATGTGGTGGAAGTCACCACCACTGACACCACCAATGTGTTTGGCTTGCAGCTACTCGGTCTACACACGTCTATCACTACCCTCACACGCCCCGTCGAGCCCAAGAACCCTCGTTAGGCCCTAACCGGTCCGCACGCCAAGGAGTGGCGTGCCGCTATGGACGCGGAGCTGAAGGCGCTGGAGTCACGCGATACGTGGGTTCTAGTCGATCGTGCAGCAGTGAAGGGGAGAAGGGTGCTAAGCGGAAAGTGGGTCTTCCGTCTCAAAACCAACGTTGATGGTACTATCGAGCGCTTCAAAGCACGCTGGGTTGTACGCGAGTACGACCAGCGCCATGGCATCGATTTCGATAAAACCTTCGCTCGCGTCAGTCATCACACCTCCGTCAGGATTCTACTCGCCATTGCCGCTGCTTAGCACTTGCCACTGTGGCAGATCGACACCAAGAACGCATTCTTATACGCGTTGGTGGACGCAACCATCTTCGTGGAGCAGCCGCACACCTACGGGGAAGGAGACTCCTGGGTCTGTCAGCTGAAGAAATCCCTCTACGGGATAAAGCAAGCGCCACGTCTCTGGCAACTGCACCAGCACAAAATTCTCTTAGAAATCGGCTTTAGGCAGCTGCCACACGACCCGGGAATGTACCGCCTCCACTTCAACGGCGACTACATCCTTTTGACTGTCTATGTTGACGACTTGCTCTACACTGGCACCTACAACAAGCTTCTTAATCAGTTCGAGGAGAACCTGGCGCAGCGCATTGACATCTCCATCAACCACAACATCACACAGTTTCTGCAGCTGAACATCATCTATGCGCCAGAAGCAATTCATATGTCAGCCTCCAAGTACGCAGAACAGCTGGGGGAACGCTTCAACATCTCACCCGCACCAATCTCAACTCCTTATCGCAACCCCAGCGCCAACTACAAACCGGACAACAAACCTCTGTCGCTTGCAGGACTCCACCAGTACCAACAGCAACTGGGGTGCCTGCTGTTCGCCTCTGTTACGCGCAGTCCCGACCTTTCGTACATTGCCAGCCAACTGGCACAGTACTATCGCAAGCCAATTGCTGAGAACCAACTGGACTTGGAGCGCGCCATGCTGTACTTCATATCCACACCTGACATCCGGCTATCCTACTCCACGCTGACGACAACCTCCTTCAACCTCAACGGCTACGTGGACACAGATCATGCCGCTGACCCTGCGAAGGACCAATCTCCTGGAACTCACTGAAGCAGGAACTGGTTTCCCTGTCATCGGCCGAAGCAGAATACATCGCCGCAATAGCAGCAGTTCGCGAAGCGAAATTTCCAACTTCGCCTACCTTTCGCCTTCACTGCGACAACCAGAGGGCCATCAAGATTGCGAACAAGCCAGGGTTCGTGAACCGCACGAAGCATATTGCGCTTCGATACTTTTCGTCAAAGAGGAAATTGACCAGGGCAAGGTTGACCTCGCGTACTACCCCACCACCGAGATGGCAGCTGACTTCCTCACCAAGCAACTGCCACGTCAGCAGTACGAACACTGCTCCGGCCTTACTGGAGTAGTCAAGCGAGTCAGCCCCTTGCGCGTCCAGGAATGAAGGGGAGTGTTACGATATGAAACTGTATGAGAAAGCATTCCTGTTTGCTGGAGGAGCCGACTCTACCGAGTACGAAGTCGAGAAGTCAGAAGAGTCAAAGCGACACTGGTAACCGTTCGATCAAGAACAATGCAGGCAGAAACATTTGAAGTGAATAGAGCGGGAACAGGTTTGAAACGGGATCCCGTGCTGCACGGTTTGAACTTCGCTGTAATAAGGGAATGTACCCCTTAGAGTACATGGCTAGTCTAGGTCGTATTCCATTGTATTTCCTATTAAACCCGATGTATGCATGCTATTATCAATCTCAGTCATTTACATTCACTCTGACCTGAGGTCACTACTTCCGCTGCAACACTACCTTGCGATCAACCCTGAGTGATCCTTCGCTAAGTCCCACTTGGGATTGTAACAAGTGCAATCTAATGGAGCCTTATGATTCCTCAAACACCCATGGTTCTCAAGTTCGGTGCTTTCCAGGGTACTGAGACCTTACTACCCGGTGCATATCGGTGGCGTATTGTAAAAGGTGAACCTATCTTATTCTTGTGGGGCTAAGTTGTTGATATAAACGGTAGTCATAGTGCATAGGATAAGACTTGCAAGTTGAAAGAAGACAATGAAGTCTTATAATGACCTTGTTAATTATAGTTGAAAGAGAACAAGATGATTATAAGATAAGAGTACTTAGATATTAATAGCGATCCTAGATAGCCATGGACTATGAGGGGTACATTCCCTTATTTACTCTATTAAATTCCTACAGTAACCACGACTATTACTCTAGTCGACAGTTACCGAGTTGCATTGTGTAACCTCCGAGTAAGGTTACTGGGCGGGCGGTCAACAGTCACGACCCTTGACTACCTGCGATTGTTGACATCGCGATTGACTCTCTAGCTGCTGCGTGCTCTATACGAGCATAACGCGATACGGTAGTAATACATGTGCGACGCCTCGTTATGAAGCGATGCGCTAAGTGAAGCCTTCGGGAATGTTATCACAACCATTGGTTATTCCAACACCCCTTCATTCCTGAAGGTGAGCCACGTGGGATTCCTCAAGGTCACCAGTTGGCAATACGTCAGTTTGACTTTGCCCTTGTCGATCTCGTTCTTGACGAAGAAGTAACGGTGTGTGATGCGCTTCGTGTGGTCCACGAAGTCGGAATTGTTCGCGATTTCGATCGCGCTCTGATCGTCGCAGAGTAACTTGAAGTGCCCTTTTATCGTCATTTTTGCTTCTTGCAGGAGCTCCATTAGGTACAACCCTTCGCGAACAGCTGCGCTGGTGTTGATAAACTCAGCTTTGGTTTACGAAAGAGCGATGAGCTTCTGCTTCTGGGAGTTCCAAAAGATGAGTCCAGCAGATTGGAGTTGAAAAACGAAGCCTGTGCGGGAGGGCGTCAGTTGTCAACATCTCCCGCATGGTCCGTGTCTATGTAGCCGTGAAGCTGCAAGGTAGCTGTTAATTTAGCTACGTAGGTGAGCCCGACATCGGGAGTAGAGATGAAGAATTGGAGTGCTCGGAGTAGCCTTGAGGCTTCGGGACGAGAGCAAGTTGAACAGCCGAAATTCATGGTTCATCGCGAACGGCCAATACCGTATTGGGATGGCAGCTGCTTCATCATGGCCCTTATCCTTGTCGCAAGGCTCCTGTTTGTCCGTTCTGCTACTCCTTGCTGCTCGTGGGCGTAGGGTAGGGACACCAGGTGCTCAATCCCTTTCTTGGCAAAGAGTTCCTTGACCTCAATGTCAGTAGAGCTACACTGTGAGATCCCCGATCGATCCTAGGGGGGGTTACAGGCGCGTTTGCCTGGGGGGTTATGGGCGCACTGACCCGCTACTGAAACAAGCCCTTTTATCCCAATGGTCTAGTGGTTGGGATTCTGACATGGTATCAGAGCGGTCTCGGGTTCGATTCCCGGTGTATGCACATGTAGGCCGGTGCCGCTGTGCTTAGTCCTGGGCCTCCCAGTGTGGGGGGGTGTCAGTAGAGCTACACCGTGAGATCCCCGATCGATCCTAGGGGGGGTTACAGGCGCGTTTGCCTGGGGGGTTATGGGCGCACTGACCCGCTACTGAAACAAGCCCTTTTATCCCAATGGTCTAGTGGTTGGGATTCTGACACTCAATTTAAAAGTACCCCAAACCCCCATCTGTGTGGAAGCTTTTCAGCTTCTGTCCTTATTGGCAATCGAAGCGCTACGAAGCATTCGAAAGCTCACGAGCAATGGTCAATGTTGATGGCCCAGACGTAGTGCGTGTAGGCATCGATGAAGGTCATCGTGTTGTTTTCTCCGTCAAGCCCTTCTTGGCTAAGTATCATGAAGTCGCTGTAGACTTTCTCGAGTGGTTCGTAACGTTTGTAACATGGAGGTAAGTTCGGGAAGGGCTTGTGAGCGACGACGCAGTGGGGCAGATGAGGCACGGCAGGTTGTTTGAGGTTTTTTTAAGTGCATCGCCGCCATATAGGAGACATCCTTCTGAGTCGAAGACTTCTGCCTCGATGGAGTTCTTACGTGTGGCGTGCGATGGATGTCCGAGCCGCTGGTGCCATATTTCTGGTTCGGCGCGGTAAACGATAGTCCTCTTGTAATACTTGTTTCTTTCCTCTTCTTCTTGCAGTTCTTCAGGTCCTTTGTCGGCGGTGGCGCGGACGTCTGCTGCGAATGCTTGGGTGGACGCTTGTTTCAGGACAGCCTTGGAGATGCCGGCGACGTCGTCCATGTCAGCGACATGAATGGAGTCGTCGGTGATTTGCAGGAGCTGCTAAGCTGGAGGCGACGCCTCCTCTGGCCACTTGGAAGCGGGGAGTCCCTCCATTGGAACGCGATCCTTAAGTAGAGGTCCTTGTTTTGGCGGTGGTGCTTCCTTGGTAGGTGCTGGTAATCCCTCAGCTTCGCCGAAATCGTAAAGCATGCCTTCTGACTCCTCTCGCTCTCCTGCTGCAGATTCGTAAGGATATTGATCTGGAAGAGGGGGCCCCAGCTAATGCCGTGTGTCGCCCGGTATGGGTCTCTTGCTGCCACGTCTTCTGGAGGAAGAGTCGGCGCTAAGGAGGGCTCCGTGGTCCCCAGCCGCTTTGAGAAGCTGACGTTCCCCATCCGCCTTCAGAGGGAACTCTTGCAACTAGTTACTGTGAAACTCCCCATGCACCAATAGTGACTTCGGTGTTGGTCTAGCCGGGAGCAACTACTCCTGTGGTTCCCCATCCTTCAGTGTCAGTTTGCCCTGCAGTTGTTGACGCTCAACTGTCGTCTTCTTTTATTGTTGCAGGTCTGGTATCTCCAGGAGTGGAGGTCGAGGCAGTTGGAACGGCGCATAAGCAAAGAAGACCGTCTGACACGGGGCGCTCATGGTCCATTTCTTCAGGATGCGAGCAGGTTGGCGTCTCCGTGGGTGTCCTTTTCTATAGAAGTGTTCTTTCGGAGTCGCCAGTGTTCCCTTCCGACATAGAGTTTGGTACAAGGACCCCGTCTTAGTCGACCGCTTTTCCAATGTAGGTGTTCTCGTAAAACAGTTTGAAACCTTTGTCCTTGCAATTACTTCGAATGTCGACTCCACACTTGATGGGCTGTGCTGCAGAAAGGAGGTTGAACTGAAGATCGGCGACGACCATAACGTCTCCGATGTGGATGATGAAGTGGGTGTCGTCCGGCTCAAGGTAAATTTCTCCGACGGTGATTTCGCACGGTCGTCGCATATGCTTCGGGTTACTAATGAATGTTGGTGATCCCACCGTGTGTTGTCCGCAACTATCAAGGTACAACGTGTTGTAGTGGTCGCGACTTCGTTGCTCGGTGCTGGCGACATTTGGAGTGATGATGCGATCGACGTCAACACAGTAAGGCGAGAGATCGTTCTCGTGCCTTGCGGGGAAGCTGGGAGGAGACTCTGGTGTGCTCGGAGGCAGCTCAAAATCAGGTGGGATGTTGGTTGGCCTGTCGATCCACGGACTGAGTGTAGGGTCGTTGTTTAGACTTGGTGTGACTGGGTCGATTGGCGCGATTGGCAGGTATTGAGTTCCGTCGTAGTAGCAAATACCTCTGCGCCAAATCACCTCATGTACCTTATGGAACATTGCCATGTATTCGGACTCCACCAAGGAAAGTGTTGCCTCCGTCTGCTTCTTGGACCTTCAACTAACTGGTCCTCCCCCAACCAGGCAGGTGTATCCTCCCACAGAAGTGGAATCCTCCTTCTCAAAAGTGCCATGCAGCATAAAACTGACCCTTTTCCCTTGTCCTTGGATGATATGCGCGCCGGAGGTGGCGACGTTGTCACCGTCGCGACTGGAGTTGAAGAAAGCACCGAGGGTTGTTGGCCTGGTAGGTTGCTGCTACGCCTCTCGTTAGCAGCCTTGCGCTTGTAGCATCGATCCATGGTGTGACCTGGTTTCTTGCAGTACTTGCAGAAAGATCTCTTCTTTTTGTGTGACTCCCCTTCAGTTGCTCTAGCAAAAAACACTAACTTCCCCCCCTGTTATTCTTCTCATTGTGCAGGTCGATCTCCTTTTGCTCGGAGAGGGAGTGTGGCGCAGAGGGCGGATTCGGAGATGGTTGCTCAAGCACGAAGCAACGACTGGCATTGTCGCCACTCGGGTCCTAGTCCAGAGAGGACATGGAGATGAACATATCGTCAGGGAC